TAATTAAAGCAATTCGTGCAAAATTATTCCCTAACCATTCCAAAATATCAAAAATGCACAACGTTAATATTCAAGTTTTCACTTCTGCCGGCACTCAACGACAGTCGAGTTTTTATTTTATTAATTATTTAATTTTATTTCTAGCATTTTAAGTGCCTTGTAAATTTAATGCGTGCTTGAAGTTATCATAGTATTTTCTAGCATTTATCACGTCTTACAGGCATACCCTATTAATACTATATTTATGTAAATTTGAGATGACACATTAAAGCTTTTGAAATCCTTACTATGGTAAAGTTTTTTTTGTATGACATAAATAAAGTACACTCGTTTAAAAACATTATACTCTTTTGTGAAGTGAAACTTCTTAACGCACGCTTGACTTGGGGGGGTAAGCTGCGAATGCGTTACGCGTTACGAAAAGTGTGTTCGGGCGAGGCGAACGGAAATTGAGTGGGGGATATAAGCAAGAGAAAGCAGTCAGTGCGTGCGCACATTTTCTTTCTCTCTTTCTCTTATAGCTAGTAAATGAAATATATATATATAAAATTCTCGTGTCGCGATGTTTGTGGTTAAACTCCTCCGAAACGGCTTTCCCGATTCTCATGAAATTTTGTGTGCATATTGGGTAGGTCTGAGAATCGGACAACATCTATTTTTCATCCCCCAAATGTTAAGGGTAATCCACCCCTAAATATTTTGTTTAAATTTTAGATTTTTTTTTCTATGATAGATCATACAAAAATACATACAACCCTAAATTTTCACCCTTCTACCACTAACCCCTACTTTTATGGCGGTACAAAGTTCGCTGGGTCAGCTTGTATATATATGTACATACATGTATATACATATAGTACATATATATATATATACATACAGATGGAGATAAAGAAGTATACTTTATAAGAAGAATCCTAAAAACTTTTGACTCCAATTTTGACCCAAAGGCGATCATTATTCTTAATAAATTACTATCTATTTCATTTGGTAAGTATCAGAAAATTATGGTAATAAATGGATGCGTGTTGTAGAGTGCACTCACCTTTTATCAGCACCCGCTTATCATCATTATCGCCATGATGTCTGATAGCTCATATTGCATCGTAAATTAGTAACGAAAATACACTAAACTTGCATTTTCGAACATTGCACTCATGTTATTATTCGATATTTTTACGTAGATAAGAGATACAGTATCATCTTTCATGGGGCATTGATTTGAAATACTTCGGTCGTTGATATTGTTTATCAGAGATGTTAGTGTAACAGTACATAAAACTGTTGGATATCTTAAAAAATGGTAGATACCTTAATAATAGTGACCCAAAATCTGATCTGAAATAATATAAGTTCAGAAACGTATTATACATACAAGATTAAATAAGTCTAGTCAAATTGTATAATGAAGATGTAAATAAACATACCAATATGTGAGGGAAAATATAAGAAATGATCGTATTTACTAGTCAAAGAAAGCAGAGTTCTGAAAAAAAAACAAAAAAAAACATAAAGTTTGGAGTTTTTTTTTCTCTATATGGCTTCGCACGGCTTGTGCATTTAGCCAATGTCAAGTGTAAAATGTTTACAAATTCTATAGCACTCGTGGTCAAAGTAATAAATCAAGTCAAAGTAAGTGGCAGTCAAGTCAATCCCCCTTTCCCTATGTTTCAGTAAAAGTGTGGGGATTTACTGGAACCTTCCCGTGGACTTCTTGTGGGAACGTCGAAAGACACTTTCCGCTATATTGTTTCACTTACCAACACTTGTGCATGTTTCCGAACACTTAGTGGTTAATAATCCACCATTATTAGACACTAACATCCGCCACAACACAATTTTTAACAAGAAAAACAAAACTGCTAAAGTGACGCTTCCCGATCCCGCCAAAAAGTCCAGAAGCTTGGAGTTGGTTACTTTCCAAGTGAAAAGTTTCACGAATGCCGAACTAGATGGCGCTACCGGTTCCATTTCAACTTGTGCTCTCGGTACTTACAGTACAAACAATTACCTACCAGTCTGATGCAATGCAAATCTCCTATGAGCATTTTGATGGTTTTCAGTGGAAATTGGCTGAATTCAAAGCGAACACTGCTATTGTTTACTCCAACGACGTACCTGATCAACAGCGCTGGTATTACAAATAATGATTTATGCGTTTTAATAATGCTAGGTACTTTGTTTGTAGTGGATATATTATGCAAATTATTTCTATGGTGTTTTCAAACTGCTGTTATTATTATATATGTTTCTTAGGTTTTCACGCACATCACTCATTAAATAAAAACTAGTTTTATTTAATGCTGTTATTATTAATGAAGAAGTCTATTTTTTGCGTTTCTTTCATTTTTTATTTCTCTTTATTTGTGGCTACAAACAGTCATACATTTTAATATAATTGTTCTGTGGTTACAGTGAAATTATAAGAGACGATCTACAGTGCCAGCAATTTAATTTACATGGCTACACCGCTAAATGATTTTTGAGGAAATTTAGAATTTATGAGACTTAGGACATGGCGGGTTACCCGCTCGGATTGGAACGCCCGTCTGGGTAAATAACCTCCACCTACACTACCTTTTGGTGTTGTGTTTCTGTCGTTGAGCAAGATTCCAGGGCTGCACAGGGGATGAGGTCAGGGTAAGCAATGGTGCGAACATATTTTTGGTATCGCAATCGTCTATAGGCTATGCTATACTATTTAGAAATGAATATAATTATTTTATTAATTTTGATACACAAAAAAAATACGGAGAGTTGACCCCGGGTGCCTTATATCGCGAAAATTAAAAAAAAAATTCGCGATATAAGGTAATGTAGACAAAGCAAGCGGGTTCCATTGTAGTAGGTACTTTAATAACTTATGTAAAAAAAATCTTTTTTTTTCATACACACCAATTTGCCTAGCCCCAAAGTAAGCACTATAAGGCTTGTGTTATGGGATGTATCTAGGGTAGCGGTTAGAATACATATACTGTACATATATAACTATATTTATATAGAAATACATATAAAACATCCATGACTGGAGTGCAAATGCTCGTATTCATCACACAAACATCTGCCCCTACCGGGATTCGAAACCGGCACCATGAAACCCGATTACAGGAATTACAGGAAACCAAAATTACCATGTAGACAAAGCAAGCTGGTTCCATTGTAGTAGGTACTTTCAAGTTATGTAAAAAACGTCATATAAATATCTTATCCATAGGGGGGGGGGGGGGGGGTCATATAGCCAGCTTTGGCGCCAGGGGGGGTCATATAGTCGTGTTATATTAAATATTGAAAGCACTTAAATAAAATCCCCCTGGGTTTGGTCCATCTGTACCCAGCTCAGGGGGGGGGTCATGACCCCCCCCCCACCCTGGAGCCGCCCTTGAACATATATGGTATTTAAACCAATCATATTTCTTTAGGTTACTTTAAAAGCATTATAACAGGATTAACATCCGTTTTATCAAAAGAATTTGGCGTATAGTGCCCGGCACGTAAACTGAACACAAATTTTAGTTTTCAGCGCATGTTTTTTCACAGAAAAACGATACAAAACTAAATGTTTTCTTAACAAAGCGGTTGCTGTGTTTCATTAGATACTGTATTGCTAATAATTCTTTAGTGCTATTATGTTTTTCTGTGAAAAAACATGCGCTGAAAACTAAAATTTGGGTTCAACTTGGGCACCGTGCTCACATCGAGTATTTTTCAAATATAAATTTGAAAAATACTCGAGATTCAAATATAAATTTTCTTGTATCTTTTGTTTATTGGAACTTAGCGTGATTTAAGTAAACATACTTATTACTTACATTAGCTAAAGTAGATAACTACCTCCACAAACAAGATAACAGAAAAAGAAAATTTCGTAATACAAATCGATGTCTGAAAACCCATCTCATCTCTATTACCAACCATTAAGTTTCCGTCGATTAACTTCGAATAGTGATGTTCGGTGGAGTCGAACTATCGATAATATTTTCAACCTGTGGCGTGGCGTCAGCTAATGTTGCCGGACGCAATCATGCCATCACTCTGCGGTTAGAAAGCCGGCTGAGCCAACGCAAATTACCTTCGGCTTAGAATTATCTCTTGCACAAAATTTGCCAAAGTCGTACTCGTACCGAAAATACAATAATAGGTTAGTTACATAAAACCTCAATGCATTTTTCGTGACTCCTTTGCCTGTTAATGTGACGATGAAGAATTATCTTATGAATGATCAGAAAACTCTTTTTTTATTTTTCAAAACATGAACACAATATTTATGACGACCTCCGTGGCCGAGTGGTTTGTACGCCGGGTTTCATGGTATCGCCGACTCGAGAGGTCCAGGGTTCGAATCCCGGTGGGGGCAGATGTTTGTGTGATAAATACGAGCATTTGTACTCCAGTCATGGATGTTTAATATCTATTTCTATATAAATATACTTATTTAAGTACAGTATATGTATTCTATCCGTTACCCTAGCATCCCATAACACAAGCCTTATAGTGCTTACTTTGGGGCTAGGCTAATTGGTGTGAGTGTTGGAAATATTTGTTTATTTATATTATTTGGTCAACTTAGAAGATGAAACTGCAGACTACTGCCTAATTATTTATCATAAATGATTTCGTATTGTCGTAGTTCTGCAGTAAGCAACCATGAAAAGCCAAAACAGGGCGGGGTATAGAATTCAGAGTGACAGTGCGAAATTTTCTTAATTTGCTGTTTGTATGCACTATTTGAGGAGCTCGATGGCGCAGGTGGTTAGCGCGTTCGGCTGCGATCGTTGAAGTTAAGCAACTTTCGCAGTGGTCGGTCATTGGATGGGTGACCAAAAATCTTCTATCTCGAGTTCCTTCGTGCTTCGCAAGGCACGTTAAGCCGTTGGTCCCGGCTGCATTTGCAGTCGTTAGCACCCGCCAATCCTCACTGGGCCCGCGTGGTGGGTCATGGCCCAATCTCCCTATTCCATCCATGCCCCAGGAAAGGCCTGTGCCCCAGCAGTGGGGACATTAATAGGCTGATGATGATGATGATGCACTATTGCTTATTGTAATTTATTGAAGGGAGATAAGTCATAGCGGACTTACGGCTTCAATTGGAGCGCCTGCTTGGAATATTAACCTTAGTTTACATTAATAAAATCGCACTATTAAAACTTACTTTAGTATTTCTGTCGATGAGCATCGTTCCAGGACGCCTCGGATGTATAGCTAGAATATTTAACATGCAGGATTTTTCTAAGTTTGGGATCAGAGAATCGCTGTACTGTAGAATTACAATTAGAATCTATTCGTTTGCATTAGAACACCGGCTTGCAACCACAAAATTTGGTTCATTCATCCATTTACATGCATATCTAGTATAGATAATAGCATGCAAATCTTTTACAATGCGTTAATTAAAAAAGCCAAACTCTCCTCAAACTGAAGGTAGAAAAAAGCCATCTGCTCAAACTTGTTTGAAAAAAATCTGAAAAGCAATGCTACATTGAGCTGGTGTAATCCATTCCTGAAAATGATCTCAAAAGGCATGATGTTGAAACGTAAACAACATTAATGCCTCGATTGCACTTTAATCAATATTACGAACACGAGACACGTATAATTTCCGTAGGTACAAATCTTTATTATCTACACACCAGTAGCACAGAAGATATTAATTAATCACTAACCACAAATCTCCCGGAGCCAAATGCTAAGCTGGCTTTCATAGTAATAATTTAGTCAGTCGACGGAGAAGCACCTATAAACGATTTCAATTTCCGTCGAGAGCCGGCCCCGGCACCGAATTTGGAATTGTTTACGATGATATTCGTGATTTATGGAAGTTAATCTGTGTTGTAAAGAGTTCTGATAATAATAGTTCACGATATCGGTGAATCGATCGGGCTGAACGTTTTATATTTTCGAGGGATGAAATTTAATTTAAAATAAATTACAAAATATTCGGTAAAATCAATAATACTACATGAACTGTTACAACACTTTCTTAAAATCTTTATATCGAAGACTTTAATGTAATTTAATTTTGAGGAAAATTCAAATTTTGGGTAGCCTGTGCTGCGGCTTACATATTCTAAGAGAACCAAAAAACTAGCTTTATTTAAATATAATACTCTTAATAAATGAATTTAAATTTTTAGTTCGCTTCTGTCCAGTTCATTAATATACAGTACCATAAAATATTCTGAACGGTGAATAAAAAAAAGCATGAATATGTAGATAAAACTTGCTAGTGTCGTTTTAATAGTTACGGGGACGAGATGGGGTTGCAGCGATCTCGACTCGAACCGAGGACCGGTCACGTAGCGAGCCGGCCTAAACCGGTTCGAGAACTAGTTTGTAAATATATATGGATATTACCTTGCTTCTAGCTTGTTTATTGCTAGGTTAATTTCATGCTAATATATGGAAATGTGGCTCGTTGTTTCATTGTTTTTCAACAAATATTGTGTCTTTGTCATATCTTATCTCTGTTCTAAAGAGCGGTGTGGTGCGGTTTTTATGAGCCGTGAAAGGCAGCCATGTTTTCACTCTGTCGTTAGGGTGTTCAGGGGTGCAGAAAAACAACGTCATCCATTATTGAAACTATGTATTTTTTTTTCTCAATAATTTCTACAATTTTTACGGCCTATCAAATAAATATCAATCATAAACAATTGATACATTTATATATTATTATTGTTAGTTTTTGTATATGTCGATTTCAAGAAGTAAAATGTTTTTGTAGCATTTTTTTTAATAATCTTTTTTGATGAAAGTGAATTCTAGTACTATGATATTGTGCGTTTAAAACACTGGACCCTACAAACATTTAGATTTCGTTTAAAAACGGTTAGTCTATTGAATTACAGTTATTGTAACAATTAAACTGTATCAAGAAAAAGCATTTGACTGCAACAAACATAGTGTCAGTTATACAACATGTACTGATAGTACTCGACTCTCCTCTCCACTGGACTACAATGACGCAGCTTTGCGCGGCGATAGAAAACAATCTTACAAAAAATTACAATCTTTATATTAACTTAAATAACTTAATACTTTTTATAACTATAATAATGTAACCTGAGATCTTTGCAAGGGGCCCGGGGCCCCGCGCGTCCATATATATTGCCTCCTTTCGCTCTCACCACATACGGCTACTTCATAATCTGATTGCGTGTTCTCTCATTCATAAAAGTATATTTTTCTCCATTTAAAATTTATACATTACAAAAGTAGTATCACAAACAAATGTACGAACTAGTACAATTACAAAAAACGTACACATATCTCCGGCCTCCTCGGAGGCCGCTCTATAATAAATACGATTACGATACATGAAATATACGATCTACTCAACTTTAGATAGAATCGAACTCGAAACAAAAAATAATACCTAAGACTAAATCGATCAGGGTATCAGTATCACACGCGCGGCGGCGACTGAGATCAAGGGGTGCGCACCGGGCGCCGCCACGCCACTCACGCGTCCAACCGACTCGCAATCATTAAAATATCCAATAATAAAACACAAACAATCATCGTACAATGATTAACATAAGTACAGGCGGCGCGGGGAGGCAGGCGTAGCGGTGGGCCGAACATCGGGAGATCGGGGCTCGCCGCCGCGCGCCGCCGCGCCGTGTCGCGGCGCCCCACGCCCCGCGGCCGGCACCCAGCTGCCACAGCGACGCTTTGCATCGACAAAGCACGCGTCCAGCACTGGCCACCGGCCGCGGCCGCGCCGCGACCCGCGCGCTAACTAAACTGCGCTTCCGCGCCCTTACTTCTATATCTATACATTACATATCACGCTGTGCTTTTTTTCTCTTATTAAAAATATATAATAATTAAATATACATATAATAATATTGATATTTGTTAAAATAACGATACGTAGATATCGAGGAGGGCAGTCAGTCGGCTCGCTCGCATCACGCGCTTGTATCACAGGCTGTGTTCACTCGGCCTGGCCTCGGAAGAGTTTTTTCTTTTCTATCGTGAACTGTGGGCTGATTATGATGGTGCCGCTTCGCGTTAAATTTCTGTAACAAAAGAGAAATTTCGTCAGTCACTCCGATCATATAAGAAGCGAAGAACCGATTTATGAACATCATAAAATAATAAAACATTAAATTCTCATTCACACAAACTTACTTTAAGAATTGCGGCAACAGGCTAGTCCAGTTCGTCGAGTCGTGCTCTAGGTGTAGATGTATTTCGTGCGTGGTGAGCGTGTTGGGGTCTATCTTGAAGGCGGCGAGCCGTCGGCCGGCGACGTCGATGATGACGGCGGCGCCGCGGGACCCGCACGGCTCCCCCTCGGCGAGCGCCAGCGTCTGCCTCGAGGCGCGAGCGAGTAGCTCGGCCGGCACCAGCACCTCGGCGGCTGCCAGTTCGCTGGCTCCCTTGGCGGCTCGCAGCTCTCTCTCGAGCCTTTGAGCCAGCGCCGCTTCCGTCGGCACCGGCATCGGCGCCTCCCGCCATGTCGGCCCACCCCATGCTATGACAATAGAGAAGCTCGTTTAATACAATCGCTTTTTGAAATCTCAAACTTACTAAACTAAAAAAAACTTTATCGATAATTTTGGAATTTTAGGAATATCATCCCAACACTAAATTAAAAAGTTAATTGCAATCATGAAATTTGGAATTAGATATAATTAATTATTTTACTGATTGGAATCTTATTTGAAATCTGATGTTACAATTTAAAACTTAACTGTACTTAGCAACAGAGTTGACTGAAATCAGAAAGTGAATCTAATGTTGATTGCGGCCGTAGCGAGCGCAGCGCAGTGGAACAGCTGACGTGTCAGCTGATCGGGCCCTTCGGCTCAGGCCGAGCTGCGGAGCCGGAGCCGGCTGGCGGTGCGCGCGCCGCCTAGCAACATCCGGCTAGAAAGCAACTTCCCTCACCACAAGAATAGAAAGTCAACTCACCTTTTTCACTATTGAATCCCACATTAAACTGGTTGGTGACAGGTAGAATCTCCATGTTTTCCAAATTTTTACTTATATTGTACACTTTTCAATACGATAAAAAAATGTTTTTAAAGCGTTCCGTTACGGAACTTAAACGCTAGAAAAATATCACAAGTCTCTTTTGTACTGCGAATGCGCACTGAGCCGGCTTCACGACCGGCGACTAGTTATCATGGGAGAGATCGATGGGAAATTGAAAAATGTCCGGTTCTAACACGACTGCATCAGATCTGATCTCGTAACCTTAGGGCTTCGTCACTCGCCCTCGGCTCACTGTTCGACCCACCCGACCCTGTCGTTCTGTATGACGGACTGGCGATAGGCGGCCGTGCGGCCGGTTATATAGATGCCCGCGGCGGGGGGTGCGGGCGGCGCGGCGCGGGCGAGCGCGGGGGCCCCGCGCGCCAGTCCTCGCCGGTCGAGCTCGCGGGAGGTCGTCTCCACGCCGCTCCGCACCGGCTTTTACCGAAAGCCGGCCGGCTTCTTTGTTCCACTCCCGTGTCGGTTCCCAGTGGAATATAAACTTCGAATCCTCCCATTAATAACAAATCCAAACTGTAATAGAATAACGAAACGCGTGTGTTAACGTTACCAAAGAACGTTCTGGTTAGAAACGGCGAACCTTTGTTTTGTGATGTGAAGGCTCTTACAACGGTATATTGTTATTTCTGCACTCAACTGTTTTCATTCAATTTGGAACAAAGTTGTAAGAGCCTAAACAGTAATTGGTTTCTGTAACGTAATCCTTTTGATTTCTCATAATAACTATGCTGAAATAGATTGTTGATGTTTTATAGTATTGTGTATTTAAAAATTGTAAATAGTGTATTAAATCGGAAAATTTATTATCAGGCGTCGTAATGGCTGCCAGGGTAGGCCTCGCTCAACTTAATAGATAAGAATAGCGATAAAGTTGATAAAACATTGTTTGTTTTAAATAACGGTTTTAACCACGTAAGTACTTTATGATAATCAATTGTATCATATATTTTCAGAACTTATCTCATTCTTCTTTATAAGTTTATTCATTTTTGCCAAAATTTACAAGTTTGCGAGAACTTAAATAATTTAAGTCAATGCTTAATAAAAACATTATTTGAGTAAAGCATTCTGGAAACATCAATTTAGTTTCATTGTACGACTGAAATCTCTAAAATTATAGTAGTCAGAAAACATAAATAAATTGATAACATTATTCCTTATGTATGTTACAGACCTCAATGATAATAAACAGATATATTTACATGTGTGGCATTAAATTTATTTGATAATAATGTAATAATATTTATATCTTAGAAGTTGGCAACAGTTACTGTAAAAACAACATTCGTTTATCGAACATATAGTAATACAGTATGTATGAATGATATAGCAGTAAATAACTTGTTTCGTTAAGCAGCAATGACTGGCCAAAATTGCGTCAGATGTTTGTCAGAATCCGACCAAATATCAATTTCGCTGCCGGCGATCAGCGTTAACGTTTGCTAGAGAAAAACTTTTTTAAGAAAAAAGTTCCATGCGATTAGTTGGTAAAAACTAAAACATTGAAAAAAGCCGACCTGATAATCTTTGCATATATAAAAATCTATATGATTTCCATCTTAATGAGGACTTTCGAACGAACAAAACAGATTAGGTGAATTTGAAAATCTTTAACTGTACCATACTTGAAAACCTAGATATAACAAATTTTCTAAACTCCAATTCCAATATAAAACTCATCAATTTCAAATTTTCAAATTGAGAATAAGAAAGAGAATTTCATATTTGATCCAACTAGCCAGACAAAGAGTTGTAACTGCCTAATGTTCGGACTTCGCAACTAACATAACAGGGAACAAAAAAGAAAGAGAAGCAAAAAAACACCGCTCGGTTGCTACGCGAAGCCGGCCGGCGAGCTGGCCTTGTGAGTGGGTGACTCACTGCGACACACCGCCCGCGCCCGAGCGGAGTATCGTGACTTCGAGATATTACAATGTTTATCACTTCCTATTCCAAACAGACAAAATCCAATTCAAAAAGAAAAAAAAAGTGATCCAATTATTTCAAAATTTTTGGTCAACTAAATTTTTAGAAGTTATCAAAAAGTAGTCAATAAAAGATCCAAATAATCACCAAAACAATGATCCTTCAGTTTAAAATTTTTATTAAGGCGCAAAAAATAACTAATGACAAAAATAGATAAATGACAAAAAAGTTCAAAATTTTAATCAACCAAATTTTTAGAATTTATAAAAGAGTAGTCAAAAAGATGCAAACAATCTCTAAACCAATGATTCTTTATTTTTAATAAGGTGCTTAATTAGAAAGTAGGCAAAAAATAGCTAATGAAAAAAAATATTTATACATTTAAGACAAAATAGACAAAATCCAATTCAATGAAAAAAAGCGATCCTATTATTTCAAAATTTTAATCAACCAAATTTTTATAAGTTATAAAAAAGTAGTCAAAAAAGATGCAAACAATCTCTAAAACAATGATTCTTTATTTTTAATAAGGCGCTTAATTAGAAAGTAAGCAAAAAATAACCAATGAATATATATGTGTATATGACAAAATAGATAAAATCCAATTCAATGAAAAAAGGTGATCCTATTATTTCAAAACTTCAGTCAACCAAATTTTTAGAAGTTATAGAAATTGAGTCAAAAAATATGCAAACAATCACTAAAACAATGAATCTCTTGAACATAATTAAAATTACACGAAGAACATTAACGTTTACCTCATACTAATAAAGCTTAGGTTTCTAATTCCATAATTTCAGTACAATTAAGTTCAGATACTTTTAAGTTCATCTTCAAAGCTAGCAAAGATACCTGTTTGGTATAGCTAAATAAAACCACGTTTCTCACCAACATCACTATATTTGTTGTTGTAACTGTTTAGAATTTATTATGATACAAACGTTTTTGTATACTAATATTAAGATATTCTAATTTAATCAATAATAATATGCAAGATCACTTGTCGCGGTTCACAGACACAGCCGGAAGAGAGCGAGAGAGGTGATGCAAGAATGAGATAAAAGATTTAGTATATCAAATACTAAACATACTCGCGCCTTATTTTAAAGTAAAGACTATGCATAAAGTAAGTTTATACAATCTTAAATTTAGACATGACATAAAGCCTTTTTTCATAAACAACTTTTATCTTTACTGTTTAATGAATATTACGTAAATAAAGTTTATAATTGACTACAAAGTCACTTCCTCAATAATTCAGCTTATCAAAGGCCGTGATAAACTGCACGTTAATATTTTACTTTGTGAATTCAGGTATAGTGGTGGCAATGATAGTCTTCATTGTGAGATAACTGTTTAAATATGTGTATGAGTATGTAGTATCATTATTACATGAAGTGCAAAAACTAGACTTTGATAACCTTAAAACCGTGGGGGTCAACGCTGTTGTTATATTAATAATAATGCCTGTAGTAAAGCATTATTAAATAAAGTTTATCATAATGTAGACATAACGAATAGACTGAAGCAAGGCGAACAATTAATATTACTATAACCAAAATCAGAATAACAAAACACATTACGAAACCATAAACAAAGCGCCCTTGTAATTCGATATAAGAGTTACAAAATCATAATCCTCATTGGTTATTCCGAACACGGAATTCTTACAAATGCTACTGTATCGTGTCTCAATTGCGCTCCAACGCGTTCGCCGCACAATAGCCCATCTCTTTCCTGACAAAAGAAAGGTTAAGACAGGGCTCGACAAGTCCCATCTCTGAACTGGCCGGTCCCAACCTGTTTTTCAACTCGTCCGTCGCAGGACGAGCAACCCGTTTCAGATCTTACGCAAGCGATTGTTGAAACCAAAAAAAAAGTCGACTCGAAATGGTAACCGATGCTAAAAAACACTGAAATCGAAACAATTGAACGTTTCGATTTCAGTGAAACAAAAACCAATAGCAACAAATTGTCATGACTTATGAATGTTAAATTTTAATTAGCCCGTTCCATTATGTATAAGTCGAGCTCATAGGATTTTTTTTTCTATTTATAGTGTAGCCGGTGTTTTGTTAAGTGTTAAGACTTGTAGGTGTTATTGCTTCACTTAAAGATTCACTTTCGTGTGTTAACTATGATGTGTTTTCGCTGTCTCTATTTAGTCGGATCTTATCTCATTTATATGACAAACATTTGCCGTAATCAGTATTCTGATGTGGTTCGAGTGGTGTGCCAAGTTTAGGCGAGTGCTCATTAGCAATTTTAAAGTGTGCTTTGTTTGTGAAGAAGGCACGTGTGTGTGTGTCTATTGTACCTATTGTATTGTTTTTCTGTTATATATATGTTTAAGTACCTAACATAAAAAGAGAGCTATGATTCCAAATGTGAATTATGGTTGTCAACTTTTTTTCTGATTTGACTACTAACTTTTGTTTATTATCGTCTTACAATAACCAACATTATGATGTAATTGTTTAGTAATTGTTAATTTACAAATATTTTGTTGATACCTCCCAACTGTGTAATGAATGCTCTGTTTTGACGAAATACATGTTTTTTTATTGAATAAAATATATTGACAATCAAATACAGTTTTATTTATTTATAACCCTTAATATAGTAAAAGTTAAAGTGTAATTAATACACAAAGTTATTAATATCGAATTGAGTGTTCTACATTAGTGAAATAGGTTATCTTTACACGACTAAATTCAATTTTATCTTGGGTCATTATTAAATTCTACCATGACACAGTATTCTGTGCAATTTAGATAGGTAGCCATTTAGTTATCATTATGGAGTCTTAATACCTACGTTAAGATTTCGAGACACGGTTTTGTTTTAGATAATTTTGTAGTTACTGTCTCTATTATTTGTAATTAAGTTTTTATTTGTGGGTTTGTCCTTCTTCTATTATATTTTATTAATTTATAATTATAACTTAAACCGGTACATTCTTTGTTTTTTTTTTCAACTAGGTATGATACTATTTGTCTACTCTTGCAAAATAAATTTCAGTCTCTTCTTAATATTTTTAAAAATACATACCTAAATATAATTTACTTAACAAATTTCGTTTCTCTTATTTGTGTCCTCTTTTGTTAGTCGCAATAAAAGAATGAGCCAAAGTTTCTAAAAGGTTGGTATATTACTTACACATTATTTTACGTTAAGTTTTCAGCAAATCGAGTTATTTTTAGTTACTAATCATTGTTTAATTTTTACCGAACGAAGTCCATGTTGTTGACGAGGAAACGTTCTATCTTTATAAACAAGTTACATAACACAAAGAGCAAACTGAGCAAACCTAAAATGTGGTTAAACAAAATAAGAC